CAGTCATGTGCTTTTCTAGTGCTGAATAATATTCTGTATGAATGTACCACAATTTATATATCCATGTACCTACTGGAGGATATGTTCGTTGCTTCCAAATTTGGCAATTATGAATAAAGCTGCTACAAATGTGTGTACAGGTATTGGTCTGGACGCACCTTTTCAACTTATTTGAAACCATCAGATGAAGCATCAGGATTGTTGTAGCGTAAGACTCTGGTAAGCCAGGAACACTCCTTCACTATCAACACCCCACAATCAATGAACCTATACATTGTTATCACCAAAATCCATAGTTTACATTAGGATCCACTCTCGTGTTATACATTTTACTTGGTATTGTACATTCTATGAGTTTTGACAAATGTGTGATGACATGCATCCACCATTAAAATATTGTACAGAATAGTTTTACTGCTCTGAAAATCCTCTGTGCTCCACCTGTTCATTTTCTGTGCCCCCCTCATCCCTTTACAGCCACTGATGTTTTTCATTGTCTCTATAGTTTTGCCTTTGCCAGAATGTCATACAGCTGGAATCATATAGCCTTCTCAGATTGGCTTCTTTCTCTTAGTGGTATGCACGTAAGGTCTCTCCATATCTTTTCATGGTTCGACAGTTCATTGCTCTTTAGTGCTGAATAATATTTCATTGTATGAATGTACCACAATTTATATATCCATGTACCTACTGGAGGATATGTTCGTTGCTTCCAAATTTTGGCAATTATGAATAAAGCTGCTACAAATGTGTGTACAGGTATTGGTCTGGACGCACCTTTTCAACTTAGTTGAGTAAACATCAATGAGCTCAATTACTGTAAGCGCCTGTTAAGTTTCATAAGAAACTGCTCTCTTCGAAAGTAGCCATAGTATTTTTGCATTCGTACCAGCAATGAGTGAGAGTTCCTGTTGCTCTACATCCTTACCAGCATTTGCTGTTGTCAGTGTTCTAGATTTTGGTCATTCTAATAGGTATGCAGTGGTACCTTGTTGTTTTAATTTGTACTTCCCTTATGACATATGATGTGAAGCATCTTTTTATATGCTCACTTGCTATTAACATAGCTTCCTTGGTGAGGTGTCTGCTCAGATCTTTTGACTATTTTTAAATCAGGTTTTCCATGTTCTTATTGTTGGTTTTTAAGTGTTCTTTGTATATTTTGGATAATAGTCCTTTATAAGATGTGTCTTTTGCAAATATTTCTCACAGTTTGCGTCTTATCTTCTTATTTTCTTGATCATTTCTCTATTTTTTTATATCAATTAGAAACATCTTTTTATTTTAGAAATTTTAGATAATATAGATAATTTAGAAGTGAAAACTGATACCTAAAAAGTCCTCCATGGTAACTGGCCTGGTATTTGGTCTATGACTAATGCAATTTCGGCCCTTTTAATTTCAGCTTTATGGAGATATAATTTACAAATTAAAATTATAAAGATTTAAGGTATACAATGTGATTATTTCATATATATAAACATCATGCAATGATTACCACGATACAGTTATTAACACATCTACCACCTCACATAGTTACTTTTTTTAATGGTAAGAACATTTAAGATCTATTCTCTTAGCAAATGTCAAGTATACAATATGTTATTATTAACTATAGTCACCATGTTATCCATTGGATCTCCTGAACTTATTCATCTTGTAACTAAAAGTTTATACCTTATTCATCTTGTAACTAAAAGTTTATACCCTTGGACCAGTATCTCCCAACCCCTGGCTCCTGCCAACCAACTAGTCTACTCTCTGCTTCTGTGAGTTTGACTTTTTACATCCCACATGTAAGTGAGATCATACAGTATTTGTCTTTCTGTGTCTGGCTTATTTTACTTAGCATAAGTTCCTTCAGGTTTACCCATGTTGCCACAAATGGCAGGATTTCCTTTATAATGCTGAATAATATTCCAGTATATATATACATTCCATCCTTTGTACCTGTGGGTTCTGTAGCCATGAATTTAACCAATCTCAGATTGAAAATATTTTGGGGAAAAAAGGATGGTTGTATATGTACTGATGTATAGACTTTTTTTTTTTCTTGTCATTATTCCCTAAACAATATAGTATGATAACTATTTACATAGCATTCACATTGTATTAGTTATTATAAGTAATCTAGACACGATTTAAAGTATATGAGAGGATATATGTAAGTTACAGGTAAAAACACATCATTTTATATAAGGAACTTGAATATCTCTGTATTTTGGTATTCACAGTGGGTCCTGGACCCAGTCTTCCATGGATACAAGGGACAACTGTATATGCCACCTTTTCTTTATCCATTCATCCATTGATGGACACCTTGCTTTTTTTTCTCATCTTGGCTGTTATAAATAAAGCTGCAATTAGCATGTGGGTACAGATACCTCTTTGAGACACTGATTTTATTTCCTTTGACTATATACCCAGTAGTGGGTTTGCTAGATCAGATGGAAGTTCTATTTTTAATTTTTTGATGAACTACCATGCTATTTTTTAAAATGACTGTACTAATTTACATTCCTACCACAAAATGACATATGCTGATGGTTTCAAAAAGGGTAACATTTTCTCTTGTATTTCTTTTTTTTTGTAAACTCATTTTGAATTCAGAAATCTCCACATTAATATGCTACTATCATTCGGGGGCCATTTTGTGCATAATAAGCATCAACACTGACTTATTTGTATTCACAACCTAGATGTTGTAAGACAGGTCTGGCAGTCATGTAGATTTCATGATAGAGACCAAACCAAAACACACAAAAAATGTATACAACACAATGTGCCTTTATGGAGAAGTTTATTCTGTGGATTTTGATATGCCATGTATCAGTTTTCCTAAAACTTTATACAGTAAAACCATAATATAACAGAATTTCCTCATCAGAATTATGAATACTGTATAGTATAATGTTTTTATTATTCCAACAGCTTACAGCTATTTAAAAGCTTACTCTCATCATTTTCAGATCTCAGCAAAAGAACTTCTATTTGGTCATTCGGCTTCAGTAACATGTTTGGCAAGAGCGAGAGACTTCTCTAAACAGCCCTATGTTGTTAGTGCGGCTGAAAACGGGTAGGTAAAATCTGTGGAACGTTGTCTCCTTCTCCATTCCCTTCCCTTTTGAAAACCTATGATGGGGTATAACTTAAGGCTTTGTGATCAACATGTTTCTTTTATATGTAGGAAAATTTAGATCTTGAAGGTTTTAATAACTTGTATGATGATCCCACAAAGTATAATAAGTATTATAAGATCCCACAAAGTATAATCGATACTCCTTTTGCTAAATTGGGACCAAGATAAAGATTCCAACCTGTGTATCAGAACTTATGTCACCCCTATTGAGTGAAGGATAGTGAAAAATGTCTAGTATTGTAGAATTGGAAATAGAAAAGTCTAGGTGCTTGTCGTTTTTAATGTAGTAACTCACTTTGAGTTCTTAAGCAAACCCATCCAAGCCTTCATAGTTTTAGAAAACAAATCAATAGTTACAATCTTCATGCTGTACCCTTGTCTGATGCCATTTTAAAACTAATAGAGGAGAAGGCTCAATTGTGAGTGGGATGGTGGGAGAGAGAAGGGAAAGGAACATAGCCAGTGGTTTAGGTGCAGTTTCCTTGAAGCAAGCCTTGCTGTCATGAAATAGGACCCAGGAAAAAGCCCCACTGATGGAAGATCTACTATGAACTACCCTCTGCTGAGGAATTATTTGCCAGCATGTGTTTGTGGATGAGGGATTGGGTTGCTGGTGGAAACAAGAGAACTTCCTCTTTTGTTTTTAACCCAAAGAGAAATTACATGCCTCTGAATTCTGAGAATCAAAAGAATAATAAGGAATTAAGTCTCAACTTGTATAAACAGAATAGTTTAACAAAATGACTAGTAGACCAATATCAAAGAGGTATCTATTCTCATAGCTTATAGGAAAACAATAATTGTTAGGTTTAGACAGGTTGAACTTTGGATAAGTCTAAAGTGAAATATCCTAGTACATTCTTTTTTGTTGTTGTTTTTTTTTAACATTTGCCTATAGCTTTCATACACCAGGGCTCCCACAAGGCCTCCTAGACAGGCTGAGATATTTTTCCAAACTGGAGAATTTAGAGGATGGTGAATTTTTTTCTGGAACTACTTGGAAAGTTGAGAAAAACAGAATAGCTAAATGAGAAATAGATCTGAAAAGTTACTGAGTTCCAGTTTGAGGTTTTTGTCCACAGTAGCCTAGCTGCAAAAGAGAAAGAGAAACTAGGGCTAAGGATATGTTTTTGATGACGGATGAATTCAGCTATATGAGGCCTGTAAATATGACCGTTAAAGAACTGAGGAATCTGGTTTTGCTCTGACTAGCTGCCTTCCCTTGCCAAGATGATTTTAATTTTTGAGAACTCTACTCTTTTGGGGCTCCCCAAAATTTATCCTCTATCTATGATATATTTCGTAGGTAGTACCTACACTTCAGCTATTACATACTTAGCAAATCCCAACTCAATCGGCTGGAAGTTATTACCCTTACTAGGTTTGCCCCATTATGTTGTAAACAACAATGTGAAAGTTCCTGTGAGTTTAGCATTTCTGCCCCAAGAGGATCAGAGGGCACCCAGAATTGCTTCATGGCTCAGTTTTTCATTTTTTTCCAAAGTATTATTTCATTTGTAGGAATCCCAGCTAATTCCAAGATAATGAATGGAAATAAGCACTTGGAGATCTGATGCTGAAACAACAGAATGCCAGAGAAAAAGAGAAGATCCTGAAAGTAGACAGTGGGGAAAAAAAAAAAAAAAACAGATTTACAAAGGAATGTTAATTAAACTGAGAGCTGACTCCCCAACAGGAAAATGAAGACTATACAGAAATGAAATCCCTTCAAAAAGTGGAGAGAAATTATCTGTCAACTTAGAATTATATATCCAGCAAAAATACTTCCAAGAAATTAGGGAAAAATGATAAAGCTTAAGACAAACAACAACTTAGAATGCTTAGTACCAACAGAGCTACTACAAGTAACAAATTTATAAATGATATTCTTCATTAAGAAGAGCAATGATTTCAGAAGGAAGATGGAATATGGAAGAAGGAATATTGAACATAAACCAGCAAAGTTTTAGAAAATTTAAATAAACACAGACTATAAGACACAATGATGTTTATATACACCCATCCACACATATACACCATCTTGGTCAGCAATGGCATATAATAGTGTAGTGACCAGAATCCCACAGGTTCTGGAGTTCTAGAAGAGGATAAAAATGTTAGACTTTACATGAATCTGTTGACATTTCCAGGGTAGCCCCTAAAAAAAAAGAAACAAAAGAAATAAAAATAGAAGACAGAACTTTCCCTTTAAAAAAGAAAAAACAGTGTTGTTTAATCTAAAGAAAACAGAAAAAAAAAATCAAAGAAAAATTGAGACAAATAGAAAATACAAAATAAGGTAGTTGAAATAAACCTGAATAGTAATCTCAATGACATATATCAGATGCATGCTGGTCAAAATTAGGTTGCTGTAGCTGCATTAATATTTTATAATAACAAATATATTGTTAATAAAATTTAAGGCATAAAGTCCTGGCACTGATAGAGAGGATTATTACTTATAACAGAAGTTTTAGTCACCAGCAGGAGATAAGGCCAGAGAAGTAGGCAGGCATCAGGCCTCAGAAGCTTCTAGGACAGTGTCCCTAAAACCTGAGTATACATCAGAATCACCTGCAGTGTTTGTTTAAATGCAGATTTCTGGGCCCCAGTCCTGGAGATAGGGATTCAGTAGATCTGGGCTGAGGCCTAACAACTTGGATATCAAACATGTGCCTACAGTGCTTGATACTGCTGGTCCAGAGATCATATTTGGAGTACCAAGGACCCCACATTTGGGGCAGTGAGAGAGAGTGTGGGGTCAAGAATAACTTGGGAAATTCGTTAGTGACGATACCATTGGTTAAGATAGTGAACCAAAGAAGGACAGTGCTATGTTTCATTTTGAACAAGAGGAGCATGAACTCCTGCAAGTCATACAGGTGGAGACATTGAATAGCTGGTTGCATATGGAAATCTAGAGCTCAGGTGAAGACACCTGGGCTTCCAAGAGCTTAATAACAGTGCCCGAAACTGTGGGAGTAGATAACTCACCCAGGAAGAGAGTGAAACGGGGAAAGTATAACACACACAAAAACAATGTAAGAAAAACCAATGCTGAAGAATCAGGCAGAGGAAGAAGGGGAGCCTGAGAATGCCAAGGAAAACCAAAAGCATAATGGAAGACAAGGGAAAAGAGAGTTTGAACAATGGAATAGACTTCCAATTCAAGATGGCAAACCAAGTCAAGTATTCATGTTCCTCTCCTCTCTCTCCAGACACTTCATTAAAATTTGAGCAGAGCAATGTGTTATAAGCACAGAAGTATTAGAAATAGGAATGTGGCCAGGAGAAAATAGTATATTCCTGGAAGATGAAAAGTGTGTGGAATGATTATGGCTGATGTATTTATTCATTGAATGAATTTGTATTGAGGTGCTAAGGTGGGGATGTAGGGTTGAGTATGACAAAAAAAAAAGACCTTTTCTCAAGGCACTTCTAATGAGAATATGACAATTTTCTAATTTTGTATGTCAGAGGTACTTCTCTCTCTGTTTTTCTTTTTATTAAAATAAAAATTTAAGAATTTTTAAAATTTTGGAACTTGTTAAGTTTAATATTTTATAATTGAAGGGGATTTTTAGCTATCTATAAACTTTGGGGGAAGAATCTGAAAAATGAAAAGAGTATGCATTTTGACAGAGTTCATGTCTTGCTGTTAATAATGTAACTTGTACAATTCATGCTAAAGTACAAATGCTATTTTTGATAAACTATAAATTTACTTTCTTTTATTAAATAGAATTGATAGGCAAAGGATCAACTTTTGCTTTGGGATGTTTTTATATTTTTTTTCAGATTTAAGGTAGAAAATAAGATGATAAGCAAACAGGGAAAACATTGGAATCCAAGATGGTTCAAATATATTGGTATCACTAGGGGAGCTTTAACTGATGCTCAGGCTTCAACCCTAGAAAATGTGAATTAATAAGCATGACTTGATGGCTAGATTGGGTCAGGCATCCGTATTTTTTTACAGCTATCTAAAAATTCTAATTAGAGCCAGAGTTTAAAGCTACCGATTTAGAGATGGACTTACCTAAAAACAGAACAACTGACCAGGAGCTTTTCCAAACCACATGTTCCAGGATTCTCACATAGAGCCACGAAATTAGAATCTCTGATGAGGGTAATTTTTGAACTACTTGCAGGTGATTGCTGATGCATAGCTAAAGTCAAAAACCACAGTAATAAACTCAAATCCCACGTAAGGCTAAAGTTTTATATTGTTGGCTGCTTAAGGTTCAATTACTTTACCTTTGTGATCTATTTATTTATGTTCTAGATTTAGTATTAGTATTCTTTACCTTGGAGATATATTATTTCAATTTCTACCTTTCTCCCAATCTTATTTTTTAGTATATACACACAGACACACAGAGATTTTTTTTTCTCCCTTGTTTTATAGAATTAAATACCTTTTCAGGTACTTCAAATCCTTTTTGGAATAAGGTTGAATATAAATGGGGGGTGGGGGGAACCATGAATATTTTGTTTCTGTATATAGAACATGGTTTCTCAACCTCAGTACTAAGACATTTTGAACTGGATAATTCTTTGTTGTGGGGGACAGTCCCATGAATTGTAGGATATTTAGTGGCATCCCTGGCCTCTCCCCACTAGATGCCAGTAGTGTGTTCCTAGTTGTAACAACCAAAAATAGCACCATTGTCAAACGTCGTTGGAAGGTGTGGGAGGAGGGGAGAGCAAAATGACCCCAGTTTAAGAACCACTGGTTTAGAAGATTGAGTGCCAGTGTTTGGTTAGAAAAACAAAAAGGTCTGCAATTCACCAAATACATATAGTATTTGACATTATTAATCTGTATATTTTCCTTCCTAACAGCAGCAACTCCCTTAATGCCTGTAAAACTTTTATTTTTCTTGCATGGAAAATTTTGCTTATGTATTGAAACTATGAACTGAAGAATATTACCAAACAACTCTGAAACAGCCATTCTGTATTTATGAACAGAAATCATATAGAGTTAAACTACCCTACACTGGGTATATTTTGTACCTGTATTTTATAACTGTATCTATGTCTTTGTAACATCTATGTAACCGAGTAAGAGTTTTCTAAACACTGGTAGTTTTCTAAATATTAGGTGGCAAGGATGATTTCAAGATTTCAAATCAGGAAAAGCAAAGAAATAAACCGTATCAATGATAAACCAAATGTAGCCTCTTGGTGGCAGTGTTTGGTTTTACAAAAATGATACCTCGGCTGCAGAAGATGCAGCACTTGATGCATTATGCTTTTCAAAATATGTAGTTTAAATTCAGTGAAATAAACCATTTTCAAGAGGATGCAGTTTCCACGGAAAGATTGCTGTACTGTCACTAACAGGCAGTGATAGCTGCATCCCCACAATTTGTCGTAGGCTAGGTTAGCCCTAAAGTGAGGTTTGCAGGCTGGCGGCAGGGTGTAATTACCCAAACAAAAAGATACAGATACAGTATGTCATCCCTGCTAATGACCACAACATTTTCTTGCCCAGTAATCTGTAACAAAAAGCCACATAAATGATCAGGCTGCACTTGAGTGCAGCACTAAAGAAAAACTTGGTGGCACAAAAATTATTCCAGCCAATTGAGTGGAAATGACAGAGAATAATACAAAGTTATCTCTGCTAGGGAGATGTGTGTTTGGAATGTCACCAATGGACAGTGCGTGGAGAAGGCCACACTTCCTTACAGGCACGCTGCAATCTGTGTAAGTATGTTCACTTCCTTCAGGACATTTCTGCATTCTGCAATTGTTTGGAGCCTTTGCTATATGCACATTTAAAGAAATATCTTTGAAGACTATTCTTGTCTCCAATCTTTATTTTGTCATGAGGATAGAATATCATCAGTAATCATCTGCCATCGTGGCATTTTTTCTTTCCCCAAAGATATTATGCAACCAGTTTTGTTTTCTGATTCTTTCATTTTTGTATCTAACAGATAAATTGGAAAGACAAATTCCATATATTTTCATAGTGACACAAAACACACAAAGATTCTATTTTAATGATGTGCTATTTTATAAAGCATAAAAAGTTTCCCTCTCATTTCCAGTGTCAGCCTTTTTTTGGTGGATAGGTTGGTAATTTTTGATTTTTTTTTATAATGAAAACAGAGCAATAACCATAGCCATAACTTTTATAATCACTTCCCAATATTTAAAGAAGATCTTGGCTTTTAGTAGATGGACTCCATATGTAAGGTAGTTGCATGATTCCAATGGTGCTGACAGCATTATTTTATTTTTTAAAATATATTTTATGCATTGCTTTTAATGTTGTGACTCAATATTCATAAACTCCTTTGTATTCTTTGGGGACCAAAACTCTACACAGTAAGAAAGCTTGTTAAGGGTAGAATGTATTGCTTGAACTTTAAGAAAAGTCATTTTCAAAGCTTATTTGGCACAAGAAATCCTCACATGCCCTTCAAATATTTTTATTTCTTCTTAACCTGTAGCAATTTTGTTGTCATTGTTTAGTTGCAAGTAGCACTCCAGAAGTAATCCATTGTGAACTTTCCCTGATTTGGAATAAGATTCCTTCTTCCAAAAGATCTCCCTTTCTCCAGAAAAATGATGAGACACAAATAAGACTAAAGTGCAAAATCAACACTTAATATGAAATAACTGAACCGAAAGACATTTTAGTTGCTATTCAGTTCAGTACCTTAATTGAACATACGCTAAACTAAAATCTAGAGAAATCTTCAGCATAGCCACAATTATGTTAGTTGCTGGCAATAATTAAAATTTTCTTCGTATTCCATTTACACAGTATTACCACTGCTCATTCCGGATGACAGGAGAAGGTTGGCTTCTTTGTTGTGGAGAATATCAAGATGTCCTTATAATTGATGCCAAAACTTTGGCTGTCGTTCACACTTTTACATCATCTCAGTCTCCCGATTGGGTCAACTGCATGTGCATTGTTCACTCCATGAGAATTCAAGGTAATAATCGGGTATTGTATAACACTAAAGGATTGCATATAAAAATACCTACCTGTGAATTATTTGTGAAGTTTATTGAGCAAGAGTTTATAAAGAATGCTTCATTATGTTAACTTATGAGTAGGGGTAGCTGTGTAAGCCAGATCAAGAAAAACTGAGGATACCCACACCAGTGGTCCAAATCCTTAGAAAGACAGCAAGAGGTTATGATGAAATGGAAAGAGGTGAATCTGTGTTTCTATGACCCAGTTCTACTTGGTACATTTTAAGAATTATAAGTTGGTTTTCATTGTGGATTAGCGGGACTCCTGAAACTTTTGCCCCGCTATATCTTCTGAATGTAGTATTGAGGAGAATTTAGTTTTTATAATGAGTGAATACACAGGAAAGTAGAAGCTGGCTCCTCACTCATTTCTGAAATAGGAAGATTTAATGTTACCAACATGATGATTTACAATGTGTTTCTGCTTGTTGTGGTGGTCTTCTTATACAGAGGAATCACTTTGAAATTTTAAAACAAATTTGGTACATGATGTAAAACATATATTATTTTTATTTAAAAAAAAAATCCAGGCCGGGCATGGTGGCTCATGCCTATAATCCTAGCACTTTGGGAGGCCGAGGTGGGCGGATGGCTCAAGGTCAGGAGTTCAAAACCAGCCTGAGCAAGAGCGAGACCCCCTATCTCTACTAAAAAAATAGAAAGAAATTAATTGGCCAACTAAAAATATATAGAAAAAATTAACCAGGCATGGTTCACATGCCTGTAGTCCCAGCTACTTGGGAGGCTGAGGCAGGAGGATCACTCACTTGAGCCCAGGAGTTTGAGGTTGTTGTGAGCTAGGCTGACGCCATGGCACTCTAACCAGGGCAGCAAAGTGAGACTGTGTCTCAGATAAATAAATAAAATAAAATAAAAAATCCAAAGCTGAATATTTTCCAACCATAAAGCCCTGCATAATCCTTACCTGACTATGAATGATTTTTTACAACAACCAGTTGTAGCAAGGTGACCTTATGTGACCTTTGTTGTTTTTTGCAGAAGATTCTCTCTTGGTGGTATCAGTAGCTGGTGAGCTCAAAGTATGGGACCTCTCCTCGTCTATCAACAGCATCCAGGTTTGCTTGGAGACTCTACTCTTTTTTCTCTAATTTCAAGCACATTTATTGAGATTTTGAAATGATAAGGATATTCCACACTCATTGTTAAAAGTTCAGATAGTATAGAAGTATATAAAATTTTACCTCCCTATACTTTCCCCATCCATCTTTCCAGGGGTGAGCATTGGTGTAGCTGGATTGTACCCTTCCACCTTCCCTCTGTGCATATAAAAATGTTTTTATCTATGCACACACACAAACACACACGCTGATTATATTTTAATTAAAAAAAAATCATAGCAGAATATCTCTCTGTCCCTTACAGCAGAAGATCCCCTTTCTTCTGGGTATGTGGGAGGGGTGGCAGGGAGATGACTATGAACACCTGGGGGGGGAGGGTCACATCCCCTGGGAGTCTGGTATATTCATCTGCTCATTGGCATCAGGCCACAAGTTGAGGTCATAGACAAAAGAACAGCCACAGTATTTGTGTTGATGACAAAGTTATTAGGTTTCCCAAGGAGCTCTGGGGTCTCTTTGGGAATTTCTTGGTTGAAGAAGCCTAGGAATTGTGTTGCCATGCTGAGCTCAAGAAATACACACCAGCATGATCAGAAACTTACTGAGAACATAGTATTCTGTGTGTTCTGTGTTGGCTACTATTCTATCTTTTCAAAACACTTTGTTCATTTTTTTTTTTTTAGCAATTAAGATATGAAGGAGTTTTTTTAGTCATTATTTTACATTTTTTTTGTTTAATCTTTCTGCCATGTCTGAAAGTGACTCATTTTTATCTTTATATTCTCAGCATCCAGCCTAGCTCCCCACAGAATGTTTGTTGAATGATTATATGTAATGAGTTCTTGAATCCAAGTGAGTTTTCTGCTCACAGATTCTATTGCAAAGTAACTTCTTAGTTCAAAACGCTCAACAGGGAACTTGGGTACTTTGCATTTTTTAATCATGTGATCTACTTTAGGTGTATGGGGAACAGGTCTTCTCGAGTTTGTATATAAATTACCTAGAACTGGCATTAAAATATTTTCTTTCCTTTTTGAAGGAAAAGCAAGATGTCTATGAAAAAGAATCCAAGTTTCTCGAGTCCTTGAATTGCCAGACAATACGATTTTGCACATATACTGAGAGACTTCTACTGGTGGTATTTTCTAAATGTTGGAAGGTATTATAAAATAACATTATAAACACCAGTGATTTAAAAATGTAATTTGTTTTTTTTTCTTGCTCAGGGAAACAATGATAAGAATATGATTTTAATATGATACAAACTCTCTGTAATCATATTACCCGAGCATGACTGACCTGTCAATTTTTAACTCCCTACGGTCAGCAGTTTTGCATCCCAACGTTTCATATGTGTGGTAATATTTCCCAATTTTAATAATAACAAAACATAATAATAATAAAAATTTATCTCTAAATAACTTTAAAAAGTTGGTGCCTGTAGAACTAAATAAAAAACTAATATTTTATGTCTACCTAGATTGATCTTATTTTTAGATGTTTTTCTGCTTTGTGACTACATTTGTTTCTGGGTGGTATACATTCTTTTCTTATAAATGGGGGTCACCAACATCTCCTAAGAGAACAAAAAGCTGAGTTGCCATCATTTGATATCGTAGCACCCTTTTCTTCTTTAGTGTTTCATATAACTGACTCCGTTAACAAAACCATATTGTCTTACTTTATGGTGATAACATATTTTTGAACAAAGATCTAAAATATATGGTCTAACAACAGATTTCTGCTGTATAATTTTTTGTCTGTAATAAAATTTCCAATGTTAAACATGGACTACCCATATGGAAGGAATACAATTATTTAGAAAGTTTGAGATTTTTGGTTTCTATGTTTAATGGGCACATTCTGGAATGATACAACTAGATAAACTTTATCCACTGAGCCTACCCTGGGATAAATGTGAGAAAATCAGTGCTTAGTAAAATATCATCTTGATATATGAGTACAGTATGGTCTGTTCTTAACACTTAGTATGTTGTTACATGATTACTATCATCCAAACAGTCTTGATAAACATAATTTATCTTTTATTTCATCGGGAGATTAGGTTGTAAGCATTTGTTAATGTGCATTGACTTTGTGTTTTAGGTTTATGATTACTGTGATTTTTCCCTTCTGTTGACTGAAGTTAGTAGAAATGGGCAGTTCTTTGACGGTGGAGAGGTGATTGGTGCTCACAGAATCCTCATCTGGACAGAAGACGGTCACAGTTATATCTATCAGCTGCTGAACAGGTGGGCTCAGATGGGAGCGGCATACAAAACATTCAGGTAGAAAATGAACTTTGGGAGGTTTATTATGGAAAAATCCCTGCATGCTGCCCATGATCAAAAACCAGAACAAAACAACTTTGGCACTAGAAGATTTACTCTGGGCTTGGTAGGCTTCAGCCTTTGTACGAAACAGCAGGGGATGGAGGAATGAGATTAGCCATGTATAACTTGTACAGCTGGTGCTGCGTTTTCAAAAAGTCACTTGTAATTATTAACCCAACAATTTCTAACTAGAGTTTAGAAACTTGAATGGTACCATCCGGCTTTTGAAAGTGGGGGGGGGGGGGAACGAATAAAGAACTCTAAAGTTCTAAACTTTGCTTTTTATTTTTGCCACGCAGTGGGCTTTCAAAAAGCATATACCCTGCTGATGGAAGAGTGCTTAAAGAGACCATTTATCCTCATTTGCTGTGCTCTACTTCTGTGCAGGAAAATAAGGTAATGCAAAAAAAGAGTGACTGCCTCAAAGCTGTTTCACTCAGTTTCTTAGATAACTGTCGCTTTGTCTGTCACCGAGGCAGGCTTGAAAAAATTGAATCGAAGCATCGCATCAGGTTGTTAATGAGAAAATCAAGTTTAATTGTTAGCAGCTACTGAACAGAAAACTTTGTCTTTAAAAATGTATTAGTTTTAAGTCTGTATTTCAAGTTTGTAACTAAACAATACATATTTATTGTAGGGATGTTATAATTATTGGAAAAAAACAAAGGAAGAACTAAAATTCCTAATTTCAACACAATCAGTAGTCACTGTGAATATTTTTTGCTTTGTCTTATGTATTTACTAATTTTAACTGGAAAATTTTCATACATTTGGAGAACTTGCAAGAATCGTTCGATGATCACTTATACACACTTTACCTAGATTCACCCATTGTTAACATTTTGCCACATTTATTTTCTCTCTCTGTGCATATATATGTACACATACATATAAACTTGTACATATAAACATATACACATATTTCACTGACCCTTTTGATAGATGGTTTGACAAAACATTAACATTTTGATGTATCTACTCCAATTGTTAAACTTTATGAAATGGTTTATATCCTGATTTTTTTATACTTAATCATATATTGAGGTCATTTTCACATGTATTTAGTTATTCTTATAAATAAATTTCCTTGTTAAGACAAGTATAATTATTCCTGGTAGAGAGTTGAATATATAATTAATTGTGAGCTTATTACTTGACTAAATTATGCCTTTGACACTCTAAGGAAGCCTGAAAATTTAAGCAGTTATTTTATTTCAGTAGTTCAGTAAAAAATAATGTTTTTTTTTAAAAAAAAAAATCTTTGGACTTATTCATCAGTTAATTATCAAAAAATGTATTTCATGGAGAGTGGAAGAGTTTTGAATTATTGATGTGTCAACCAAGGAAGCATGCTACTTTATACAGAATGATGGTTTGCTTAATTAGAAAGCATACCTGGTGGAAATCCTATAGTTCAGCGATTGTCCCTTTAACATATTTGTGAGGTTTTATTGCAAAAATTTGATTAAGAAGCTGTCAGCCAAAAATTAGAAGCCCAAATGCCAGTGGGCATAGGCAAACTTTAGAATTATGGTGTGTGTAAAGGGCTGTTTCTAAAATTATTTGTGGGTAGCAGTAGGGCCTTGTTTTGCTGTTGATCACAAAAGCAATATTGTGGCTTACTCATAAAGGCATATTTAGTTATTTATTTTTTTAAAAGATGTGCTCTTTCCTTCCTGTTAGCTTCAGAATGCATTTTTTAAGAACACAGTTTGCCTTAAAAGCCAAATATTAATATAATATAAATCTTGCCTTAAAGGAGTAACTAGGAGCTTTTAGTTACTGCAAATACCAATGCTATCCATAATGACAAGGACAAAGCCTAACAATTTTAAAAATAACTTAAAAAAATACTAATCTTACAGGAAGTTTCCTTGCTTTGCTTCTCAAAATATGAAGACATAAACGTATAGGTCTTCTCCCAATGATTCTTGTTTAGACAACCACAGTTGTTTCTGTATTGTAGAAGTAGAAAGTACCTAGAAACCAGTGAAATATGAATAGAATAATCTGAAACTTAAAAAAGAAAAAAGCTGCTCTACCCATCCTTAGACCCTTACTTACCCTTTATCCAGGGAATAAAATAAAGTCAGACATTTTCCTCATTTTTCAAACATCACTAGCATTCACCAAATGTAAGAGTTCTTAGTCTTTCTTGCAGTTAGGCGATACCTCTCTTGCGGTAGGGTGTGGAGATGAATTTGATAGATACGGTGTGCTTAGAAAAGAGCACCCTGTTAACATGTGTAGTGGCTGGACTCATATTTTGGGGTGATATCATGGAATTAAATCTCAAGGTTTAAGAACACGTTCTCAGAGTTACCATTTGTAATACTTGTGAACATATCTGCTGATGGAGTTGTAAGAATAAGAATGAGGGCTTGCTTTTCCTTCCAGTAGCTATAGGAGGATCTCCCTGGCCTGAAATCACAGCTGGCAATTGCTGAGTCCTGTGGCAGGGCTTCTGGCTGTTGGGATGAGGAACTAACTGGTCTTCCCAGGGGCACAGCTGAGGAGTAAGGCTGCCATGCTGAGGTGGGAGTAGCTGGGAGGGAAAGTCTGTGGGTTGTAAATAAGGAATTTGGGTGATTGAACTAAGAGTCATGACAATGATAGATAGATAGATAGATAGATAGATAGATAGATAGATAGATAGATAGATAGATAGATAGATAACTTTTATTGAGTACTTATCATTGGCAAACACACACAGTACCTCATTGACTTCAGATGCCACCAAGACCTCATGTTGAAACTGGCGTTCAGAGACGTCAACTCCCAGGCTTTGAACCCAGATGGCTTAGCCCTAGAGTCTGGAAATGGGTTTTTAGAGTGATTTTCTCAACTGTTATGAGAAAATAATAACAAGGATGGTTATATTAATTGAATAGGGACTAAATGCCAGGCACCATTCTAAGCGCCTTGTCTTTACCTACTCATGAATCTGTACTACAGTCCCATACAGTTAGCCCTCTTTCACAGTTAAGGAAAATGAGGCAGAGAGGTGAGCTAAATTGCCTAAATTAAGTAACTTGCTCTTTTAATAGAGCTAATATGTGGTAAAGCCAGGATCTGGATTCCGGCAGTCAGTCCCAGAGATTTCACTCTTCATGACTGTATTTTATTACCTCCTGGAGGATGGGTACTCCCTCTGATTGGGGCTGGGTGCTGTGATGGAAAATCAGAATTTGAATTCCTATGGTAATGGGTTCTGAGGGGTTCTCAGGTAAATAGCAGAACTAAAGAGGGAATTATTGGGAAGCCTCAAGGGGTGGTGTGGCCAGGTGAGGGGTGGCGGTATGGGAGGTGAGGGCAGCAACAGGGAACCACAGGGGCAGAGCACTGAGCTGGGGAGAGATGTTCCACCACCAACTTGCTGACTGTACCAGTCTCATGGAGCTTCATTTTCAGACCAAAATAATGAGAGAGTTGGAATAACACATTCTAAGATTCCTAGAAGGTTGGGAGAGTTTCAGTAGCCCATTTAACTAGATTTTATCAACATCGTTTCTAATAGCTATAAAAATCATGATTTTGAGCTCTGTACGACCCCAAAGTGTCCTCTGAGTCAAAGAGAGAGAGAGAGAGAGAGAGAGAGAGAGAGAGAGAGAGAAATTTATTTAGTTAACTGACTTCATTGCCACCATTTTCTGTGATGTTCTGATTTCTTGGAACTATAGAAAACTGTAAATATCTTGGTTTTATGACCTTGGATTTGTTTCTTATTTTCTGTGTCTCAGTTTCCTTATTTCTATAAAAGGGATAATTACAGTATTTACTTACTTCATCGTTTTGTTGTAAGGATTAAGCATAGCAATATTTTGGCCCTTAATATTCTCTAAAAATATATTATAGAATTTTTCCACTAATATATCTAAATTTGGACCTTAATGCATGTATTTTCTGACTAGGAACCATCACCTTCCTAGACTTCTTTTAATTCTAATACCAGCAGTTGATTTTCTTTTCTGCATGTCTTTTATTTGTATATCAAAAGGGATTTTTGTAGTCACAGTCATTTTGATCCCTTGTGCATGATCTCTCTTTATAAGCCTGCCTAAAGAACAGCTACTCTGCCCTGAGATACTAGGGAAAGTCTAGATGCATTCAGTAGTGAAAGCGTATCTTTAAGAGCACTGGTACTTCATGTTCATAGTCTGCATTAGCTAAATCATAAATTATATGTAGATAAAATATATAGTAGTATGTATAATATATAATACATTTTATATATGTGTGTGTAGTAAATTAAGGAGTCATTTTTCTTTGTAGTTACTTAGGAAATTTGAAATCAAGTATGTTAAATCTGAAAAATGGTTAACAGAAAGTAGAGAGCATATTAATAACACAAAATTACCATATAAATTTTAGTGTTTGCTGTTTCAACTGCTAATTGGAACTGAAAGGAATGTAAAGAAATCAGGCCTCCCTAATGGACAGTATTATCCTCAAGACATGGGCTCCTGAGTCAGAATTATTGCTGTCTGCATGCTTGTGTTATATATACACATAACATGGTCAGTGAATGTTATATACTCTTATTAACACTCTGAAGTCTAGCTTATGCCTTTATTTCTGGTTTTATAAAGACTTTTTTTTTGTCCTAAATCCTAGATTACTTCATTTAATTTACTTGAAACTTTGGCAACAGTGTGAAATCAGTTGAAAAGATTTAATTCTGCTCTTCAGTTTTGTTCCTCCATTTAAAAACAGTGGCCATCTTTCCACAGTTAGAATATTTTTGACATAGAGGCTAACTTTTTGTTTTGAAGCAGAGCCATCCCTTTGTAATGGGATACATGAATGAAAGGAAAGAGCCTTTTTATAAGGTACTTTTCTCTGGAGAAGTCTCAGGAAGAATTACTTTGTGGCACATCCCTGATGTTCCTGTATCCAAGTTTGATGGTTCTCCCAGAGGTAAGACAGTTTCCATATCCAATCACATGTTTTCTGAAAACTAATTTGTAATTAAGTCAGCATTTTTCTAAGTAACATGGGGCTACAAACAAGACAAATTTTCTCTTGTACCGCTATGTATTAGGAGCCAACATAAAAGCAGGTGTAAACAATAGATCTTACACAACAATACAATCAATGTAATTCAAATTAACATCAATTAAATATAACAAGAGATGAATGTTGGCAATTTGAATGTGGGACGGGCTGTTATACCATATTCATAGTTTTGAGGGGAGGGTGCTTTGATAATATTTTTCACATCTATGATGAGTTGATAAACCAAATTTTCCCTCTTTGCATGTTTTCCTTTTAGAAATACCAATAACTGCCACCTGGACGCTTCAAGATAATTTTGATAAGCATCATACCATGTCACAAAGCATTATTGACCATTTCTCTGGGTTTATAGATGGGTCTGTAGTCACTTCCTCAGAGTATGTTCCAAGTCTTGGTAAACTAATATGTGGCTGTGAAGACGGGACAATTATCATCACACAGGCTTTGAATGCTGCCAAAGCAGGACTTCTAGAAGGCGGTTCTTTATTAAAAGGTCATTGAATTTTATTTGACCCTATTTATTTAATTTATCTAAGCTGCAATTTTGACAAGCTGCACTAAAGAAGATTCAGGGGCCTAAATATTTGGCTGGCATTTGCTGATAAATTTGTACATATTTTAATGTTAAAGTAAAACATACACATAGGTTTTTTTAAAAACTCAAGCAGAAGGTTTTATTAATACAAAGAGCAATGAGTTTCTCTCCTTACTCGATCTTCCAGTTACCTTCACCAAAGTAGACTACTAGTAACAGTTTCTTTATACCCTTCTTGAAATTTTCTGTGTACAAGCACATACCAACATAGCAGTGTATGTTCTTTTAATTATATTGCACAAATACAAGCATACTATATATACTTTATTAAAATGTCCTTAAACATTGAATAAAATATTTTGGAAATCATTCTTTATGAGCTCATTTTAAATTATTAATAATAATTAAATTTTTAAAATTTTTTTATTTTAGGAAATTGTGGGGCTACAATCATTTTGGTACTAAATTTTGTTTTTAAAATATCAACTATTAATTGCTATTTAGGTTTTCTAGTCTTTAGCTACTATGGGAAATGCAGAATCGATTATCTTTGTACATATATCTGGGTATAGCTGCAGTATTAATTTCCAGGAGTAGAATCACTGAATCAACATTTGTGTTTTCAATTTTGAAAATATATATAAAATCTTCTATAAAGAACTTTCATCAATATACATGCATTTCCCTTAATAGCCTATGAAAATGCAACTTTGCCAACTTTGTGTGCTATTTTAAAATCTTTACCAATGAGGAGATAAATGACATCTTCCCGTTTTAATTTTTATTTCTTTGTTATTGAAATGGATATGTGTTCTTACATATCTTTGTGCATTACAACAACAAATACCTATTAAATAAAGACTGTTATTCAGTAAATCATCTTATATAAGGGAATGGGGGTAACTGGGGTTTTAGGATGTATAAAAAATTTTGTATACCATTTTAAAAAATTATATGAATGCTATTATTAGTAGAGTATAAGATCTTTAAGAGTAAAGACTAAAATTTCATTTTTTTTTTAAAAAAAAAATGTACATTGCCTACTGTTGTTCTCAGCTTACTTAGCTACTTAGTAAAAGTTACTGACTTGTGCCTCAGTGATTAACTGAAGTAGGGAGGGAATAGCAAGGAACTGAGAAGTAATGTGCTGGCACACAGCTGCATGGCTGCTGTTAAAAGGCTAAGACATAGCATTTTTTCACCTAGGCTGATTTTTCCCAGTATCCACAAAACAAGCAGAAAAATACATTTGACTTGTAGCATACGAGTTAACATTCATCACAGTTTGTTAGGAGAGATAAAATAAGGATGTGCCTGGTGGAATAGAAGTATCTAAAATATAATAATGATTCTTCGGGATTTAATCTCAATCTGAATAAAGAGGGTTTGTGGCTTATGGTCCTCTCCAGTTTTGGGGAGTGTAGCTAACAGTGAAGGAAGAAGCAGTGTGGTGAGTGGGAAGAGTAATGTGTCAGTAGTCCTGTGTTCTAGCACAGCTGTGATTTGAGGTGCACACCTGCCTACCAAACGCCAAGCAGAGTGCTAAGAAGTACAGACAGTTTCTCATTTCGCACAATAGTTGTGTTTGAAGTAAGGACTATTATTATCCCAAATTTTTAGATGCAGCATCTGTGGTTTAGAGGGAAAAGGAAACTTGTCCATGGTGACACATCTAGTAAGCGACAGACTCAGGAAAAAAAAAAAAAAAAGCAGCTATGCTCTTAAACATCATACTTTGCCTTTTCACACTTGGATGCAAGTCACTAAACCTCTCTGCGCCTCAGATGCTTTATCTGTAAAGCAAAGAGGTAGAGCTGCATAATTTGTGGAGGCAAAATGTGTGAACTGTTCATTCTTTTAGAACAGGGTTTATTATTTCATGGCACCGGAACTTGGTAACTCACCGACGTCCTTAAAGAATTAATAGACTATAAACAACCAACTTCTGTGCTTCCTCAAGAGCATAGTCTGGTTTCTGATGAGGCATTTGCTTTTTGAGATGGTCTAGGGGTTGTTCACTAATTTTCTTAGCCAAGTGCATTAGACGCAATTTCCTCGTGTTAAAAATTTATGGAAGAAAATCTTAGAACTATTTCCTGAGCAAAAATAACTTTTGTAGTATTTGGTATTTGGTTGTTTTTTCAGATTCCTCCCCTCACAAAGTTCTGAAAGGACATCACCAAAGTGTTACTTCATTACTTTATCCACACAGTCTCTCTTCAAAATTAGACCAAAGTTGGATGGTTTCCGGGGATCGGGACTCATGTGTCATCTGGTGGAATATCTTTACTGAAGAAATTCTGCATAAATTCTTTTTGGAAGCCGGGCCAGTAACAAGTCTTTTGATGTCACCAGAGAAGTTCAGAGTAAGTTAATGCAAAGAGTAAAATATACCACAAAAATTTGAAAGTTAAATAACATTATAGAACACTTAACAAAACAAGAAAAAATAACCCATAGTCACACAGAAAAGAAAAAACATTAAGTTATATGTACCTATAATACAACTGGAAGATTTATATATATATATATAAATATATCTTTCTAATATTTTATATGAATTATATTATTATTATAACATGTAGAACATTTGGCTCTAAAGCAAAGATTTAATTAATTCTTAGCTTTACAAAAACCACATAATTTTCTTCAAGTACTTACACTTTGATCTTTTTCTCTAGTTCTGTATCTTAACTTTCAATGAAGTTTTTAAAAATAAAAGTAATAAATGCTCAACGCAAAACAATATAGGAATCTATAAATTAGAAATTAAATTTTGTCTTCAATTATTTCTGTTTGTAATAATATTGATAAATAGTTACATTTTCTTTTTCTTAAATGGATTTTTTATTTGATCATTTATTTATTTAACAAATAATGAGTTTTAACAAATTTATGAGCATCTACTTTGGCCTGAGCAAAATGAAATAGCTTTAGGTATCATTTTCTCATGAAATGTCAACTTAAATTCAGCTTTGGTAGAGCTGATGTTTCAAATATGAACAACCAACTTATGAGTTTGCTCTATAATAAAAGCACTAAGTAACACAGGTAACATGATTTTGTAAATTAGTTTATTGGCTTATAAAAATATTTCTCGATACTATCTTTAAAAATCAGCTCCAAATTAAACTTGGAGAAAATTTATAGTAATACATAATGAAAGCAATATTTCGGTAGCACAAATGATTAAACAAAACAGTGAAACAAAGTTAAGTTTTTTTTAAAAAAAAATTTCCATTTGGTGATTTGGGCTACCTTGATGTGCCTTTTATTCATGAGGTTTTCCTCCTTTTTTTCTAGTTATTTATTTATTTTTTTCAGCTCCAGGGCAGCAGTCCAAGTCAGTTCCTCTCCTGACCCTGTTTACTCCTGCCAGTCATAGATGATTTAACTCTAAGGATCAGGACTCATTCAAACCAAGTCCAATAAAAAGGGAGTTTATCAAAAGGGTATAGAGGCAATTCTTCAGACATCCAAGACAGCACTACAGCAAGGGCTCAGTGGAACTTGACCATAAATTCAGAAACCAAGGTCCCCTAGCTCAAAAGAGTCTGTTTGCCTGTGATTACTCCCTTCTCTGGCTTCTTCCTATGAATTCTTTTAGCTTCATAATCTCAAAGGCCCGGAAAACAGAATGTGATCAGCCCGATGTGGGTCACTAGCATATGTATGCTCTTGGCCATGAGAGTTGTGTTCAAATGGGGGGTGTGTGTGTGTGTATGTATGGAAGTTTCCTGAGGCACATTGGGCTGCTTGTTCTATGAGCTATGGGATGGGCAGGTTCTCCAAGAGGTAGGATGAGTGAGGAGGAAGGACATCTGATCCATCCCACAATTCTGGGCTCCACATCTATCTCTCCTGCCCTTTTGCTATCTTTTTCCTCAGGACTTCTGTAGTCTTCTACTTAAAAAGAATTGGGAGAGAAAGCACATACCCTCTCTCACCTCCTACAGAGGATAATGATGAGTATGGGAAGTCTCAAGGGATCTTACGCTCTAAACACAACTGAACTTCTGGCTAGATCCTTAGCAGCCAGCATGGATGGTCATTGTCCTAAACTGTGTTCAAGGTAACCACATGCTGACTTTTTAAAAAATGTGTCAAGGACCATTGTCCTGTGAGCCTATTTTGGGTCCTCGTGTCTTTGAGACTGTACATTCAGTGGGAACTATCTAATGCTGACCTCTTTTAGATTGTGTCTACACCGAGTTTCCTGTTTGGATTAGAACCTGTACAGTTCTGGGAACAGCACCAAATCACATTTTGAGGCTTTAAGTGGAAAATATCAGCTCATGATACCCTTGGGCCTGAGCTCGTGTCTACAAATAGCTTCTTTTTGTGGCAACAAATTAGTTCTGGGGTTTATTTTATTCTGCTTTATTTCCGAGGTCTGCCTCCCTGCCTGAATTTGCTGAGTGATGATGGTCAGGTCTTTCATTTATCTTATAAGTAGATCTGCCCTGGAATTCTCCTTTTCGCTTGCATCTCTTGACATTCCTGATAATTTGTTGGGTTTAAACTTGCTGTTTAAAGCTCCTCTATAGAGTGTGATGTGGTGAGGTACTGCAGAAAGAAGAAATGATGTCCTTTAGTAAATGGGGCTTCAACAACATTTTTTTATGTTACTGGGGGGGGGATCTGATTTAATCATAAAGAAAGCATTTGACTATTTCCTTACACAAGTGTGTTGTTTTTTCACAGCTAAGGGGTGATCAGATAATTTGCTGTGTGTGCAGTGATCATTCTGTGGGGCTCCTTCACCTGGAAGGGAAGAGGTGCCTCTTGCGTGCCCGGAAGCACCTTTTCCCCGTGAGGATGATAAAATGGCACCCTGTTGAGAATTTTTTAATTGTTGGATGTGCAGACGACTCTGTCTACATCTGGGAAATTGAAACAGGTAAATCGAAATTTTACTCCTTTTTTGTCCTTTATATATTTGTGATATACAAGCATCTGGCCAGATGGAAAGTTTCGTAGAAGACACAGTGATGACTTCGCTTGCTTTAACCTTTGGTTGGGTTGCATTTAATGACTCTGGATATAGGCATGTGTGGAAAATAAAACACAATGCCCTAAGTCAGATCCTGACCAACTGATGATTAGCTGACAGGGCAGTGCACAGGAATGAGCCGGATATTTCTGGAAGCTATAAATAAAAACATAAGTTATCTACTTTAATTATTAACAAGAGAGAAATTTAGTGTCCTACTGGTCTCAAATTATCATTAAATTCTGCCTTCTTCAGCATACTCACCATCTCAGCAACATTTTGAGCTAATTGATGATCAGTAATAATGGAATATAATTAATTATAAAACTCCAAGAAGTTGAGTCAGGGAAACTGAAAAGTGAGTGGCTCAGATTGAACTTTCAGTATCATAGCATAGAGAATGTACATTTTGAACTTTAAGATTTTTAAAAAAGTTTTACTACATGACTAAAGATTGAGAGTAACACATTTCAAGAAATGCTGGGAATGTATCAAATAAGGTGAGGTAATTAATGAATGTGAGTCAGGGAGTTCATTTGAGAGTACATTTCACTGAAACTATTGCATGATTTTTATTGATTAATCAGTGGTGGTTTTATGTTGGGTGTTATTAACAGACTGGATAGTTTATAATATTATAGTTTAGAGCCATACTTCACCAAAATAATTGCTATTTTCTTTACATTTCACTGTCGTGTGTTAATGACGATGAGTAATGTACTAGCATTTGGAGCATGCAACATAATACTGAGTTACATTTGTATGTGGTTTTATAGCTTTGATGGGCTTTCCTGCTCATTTTCCCATTAGATTCTCACAACTTCTGGGCTAGGTAGGAGAGATGTTACTTGCCATTTTATTGCAGATCTGATATGTAAATGTACAAGATTGCTGAGCTAATGAGTGATGAACCAGTTTGAGGGCTCTGGTTGTTCTTTGCACAATATACACAAAATTAGGAGAGTTTTAGCATTCTTAAGTAATTTATTGATCTGAGTGGTAATTTATTATAATGGATAAAATAGACTTTAAAGCCTGGGCTTGCCTTTAAGACCTGTGAATAAAGAGCTATATGACCTTGGACAAATTACTTGACCTTTTTGCTTGTGAATTTCCTTATCTGTGAAATGGGATAATAGTACTACCTTCCTGTTAGGAATACATGAGCTAATACTTACTTTGCTTATCAACAGTACCTGTGGATGATAAGCCCTTAGTGATAGTTAACTATTACTGTTTATTATTAAAGAGTCCAGCAAAATCTTGACTTCTGTTTGTGAAATCTGAATCTGAAAAACACACGTACTTATAAATGTGTACAATTGCATTTTCAGTTGTGAACCCTTAGTAACCGAACATATTTTTCATAGATAAGAGAATCCAACAAGGATAAAGAAATGTCTGAGCACTCACAGGTGTTCATGGTCCCCTATCAGGATACCTTCAGGCTATGCAACTTTTTATTTACCTATTTTTTGAGCTGTGGGAAGTAAAGGAGGAAAGCCAAACCATAAGTACTTTTTGAGATTATATGTATTCCTATTTTGTTTTTTAATTTTACCTCTTTTTATGCACCCAAGTACATAATCAAGTGTTGTAGAACATTTGAAAAATCACCATAAAGAAAATCAAATAATCCTATCCTACCACCTAACTATAAGTGTTATTAATATTTTGATCTGCTTTCTGCAGACATCTTTTCATGTCAATAAATGGATGTCTATATTGTATTTCAGTCATGGTCGTGGCAGGAAGCTGAATTCAACCCACTTGTGTGAAAGTAAGAGACTGTCCCAAAAGGATTATTTATAGGAGTGTGGGCAGGGATTAGGGAGCAGACTAAGGACGGATGGTGAGGCCCCCCGGCACTCAGACACTGGCAGCAACGAGAAGAGAAAATAGTGTTCCTGGAAACCCATGAGAGCTGAAGCCCAGGAGGAATGGTCACTCCTTGAAGTCATGAAGGAGAAATAGTTCCTGCCCAGAGTGAGGGACTGAAACAGAGAGAGTTGGAACGAATTTTCTTTTTTCTCCTTCTGCAGTCACCTCCATTGGTCTAATCCACCTGGATGTCAAAGGGGAAGGATGTTCAGTTCTAGGCATCAGCCTCCCTGTGCACAGAACAGGACACAGAGGGGCAGGAGAGGGTGGGGTGTGTTGTCACATGAACAGTAATCGGTGGAGTGGCCATTATGGACACATCATACTTTACTTCAGGAATCTCCTATAGTTAACCGATTTATATTATTTCCTCCAAAAAGTTTGTTTTAGAATTGTCATCAAATAATATGTACATGTTTAGTGCCAAAATAACCTATAGAATTTTTTTTTTTTCCAAATGAGCCTGGCAATCTCTTGGTTATCTACATTAATAGTTACAAACAATCTTAACTCAACCTAAGATAGAGCTTCTAATTGGTGATAATGTTATTATAATAATAATGATTATTATATCATTTCATTTACGTTTGTGATGTTCCTCTTCACTTTTTCAAAGAGTCGTCCCACTGACCACCTCGTTTGAGCCCCACAACACCCCGTGGAGGTGGCGGATGGCCTCACTTTTTGCACCACACTCATGCCTTTTGAATGAGTTTGTGCTGTTCTTTTTAGTCCTGTGTGTGGTATTAGCTTTGGTGTGGGTTGCCTTTAACCTCTGCAATTCCCCTTCTGCTTAAAATTTAAGGAACTACTTTTTTCTTTTCCAAGTTGGAAAATTCAGCTGGTTAAGATGCTTCCGTCATGTTCACTGTACTTGATTTCTATTTTATCCTTTTCTTCTAAAGGTGAAAAACTCTGGGGTAGGAAGCTTTTCGGTTTTTATTTTCATTAAGCTAGGAGGGGAAAAACAATACTAGCTAAAACCAAAACAGTTAACTGAAAGGAGCTCTATGAGGGCATGGAATGTACTTGTTCACTGAGGTGTCTGGTACACAAATAAATGAATGAATGATAAATGAGTGAATTAATGAGTAAATTAACCCCAATGTTCTTGGGCCTCAGTAGATTGAGTACAAACGAGTTAACCTTAACATTGGCTAATTGCAGGGACTTTTAGATCAGGGCTGCCCAACTAAAAGCAGGTCCTTAGCTTTCTGCTCCAAGTCTCCCTTGGGCTTTCTGGAGTTCACAGGGCATGAGAACCTCCTCAGGTGTAGGTCTGAGTATTTTCTACTGCAGTTAGTTTTTCCTGGGCTTCGGCCTTTTAGCTTTGCTTGTAGCTGTTCTCTGTATAGGATTCAAACTCAATTCCATGTGTGAACAGACCTATTCTCTGTTTCATTTCTCCAGCACTCTGCCTTCTCCAAAGGAAAAGGAATAAATTGACACAAAGGCATTTATCAGATCTTTCAGCACTAGAGCGACTCCAGACCCCATAGAGAGAAAATAGGAGGTTTCAGTGGAACAAGAGTTTCAGGGAAAGGGGCCTAGAAAGAACAGGTAGGGGATGGGGCTTGAAGCCAAAGGTAATTAATTCTCAACCTGCCAAAAGCCTGTCTCGGAGGAAGTTTGGGGGGCTGTGGGGGATGGGGTCAGTCCCTGTGCCACCCTCCCTTGGGTGTGGAGGATTGGATGTGAGGTCTTCACAGGTTTTCACAAAATAACAGTCTACTGTCAATTTACCCATGAGTGCCTTTGGGAGAAAACACAAACATATTCTAGATTGTATCTTGAAGCAGCAGGGGTGTTGCTGTGACAGGCGGCACAGTCAGATGCATTCCGGGGTAAAGTTTGGAATCACCGTTGAGCACGTGCATCTCGTGCAAGAGGCAAACAACTAAAGTAGAGAGGTAGTTGTGTAACGCTGAGAGCCCTTGTCTTCTAACTAAAAACCTAGTGCTGCCAGGTCGGGAGTGATGAGGGCATCTAGTTTTGCTTATTGATCTGCCGGATGTCCCATGATGTTTAGACCTGATTAGGAAGGGAAAAAATTGGAGATGTCATTTTGATTAATATTTGAGCTCCCACGGTGCATCTGGCAGTGACAACTCTGGGCAGCTTGGTGGCCCTCATTGCTGTGAGACACAATAGGGATAACGTAATACTGATTCCCAGCCCCCCCCCAAATACTTATCAGAAATAAATCTCGGCTCCGAGCTAATTATTCTTTTAAGAATTGAATTTAAAATAATTGCGAAGACTATTCTGCTCACAGTAATGAATTTACCTAGCAGAAAATTTGTATACTGAATCTCTTATGTGTTATTAATAAAACTGCTGTTAATATATTGAAGTTCTTGTGAAATACGCCACATTGGGGGGGATGAGTATTTTTTTTGTGTGGGATAATGAAATTTTGTTTGTTTGAAAATAAAACATTTCTTGACAGGGTGGTTCAGCAACACTTTTTCCTATAGAGGGCTGGATAGTAAATACTTTCAGCTCTGTGGGCCATTTGATGTCCGTTGGAGCTACCGTAGTCTGCCTTTGGTGTGCAGGAGAAGCCATGGACAACATAAAAGGAGAGGTGATGCCATGTTCCCATAATGCTGTATTTACAAAAACAGGCAGCAGGCTCCATTTGTCCTGCAGCCATCATTTATAAGCCCCTGAGAATGATGATTGTTCTTTTTCATAACAAGTCAGCCTCAAAGCAGTTTATAATTTCTAATCCATGATAGCTCCCTGAGTCTGCGTGGTAAACAGTACGGGTATGGTTACACCCATTTTACTAGTGAGGAAATGGGGCACAGAGGGTGAGTCTGAAGGTCCCCCCGCGAGCCACGGGCACTGGACTGTATGTCTCTTTCTTCCAGGTATTGTACAATAGGATCAGCTCTTGCAGATGGAGGTTGTTAGCTTTTTGAGACTGTCAGGCAGGGAGTTAGATAAGGAAAGCTTCCGAAAAGAAAGGAAATGGCTGCCAGGAAACCTGCTCGCAAGCTCTCCTGAAGGAGAGGGTCTCT